CCAGAAGGAATGGAAGCAAATACTGTCGAATGATGATACACCGAGGGGATTGTAATCATTACAACGAATCAAAATGCGATTGGCTGAGTACAAAACTGACGTTCTTCCATGTAAAATATTACTCACAATAAAAGCTTTAAAAGAAAGAAAAATGCAGCTGGATTTTTCTATATGTATAAAGACAGCTCTGAAAAGGAATTTAGGAAAATAATACCATTTACTATTGTGAAGTATTTCAGCCACCCAGAGGCTAATCCTAACCCTAACCCTCACCCAGAGGCTGAAATACTTAGGAATGAATCTACCAGAGACACAAAAGCCCAATACAAAGAAACTGCAGCTACCAGTGACTTTGAGAAAGACAGATATTTGGACTGTTTGATTTGGGGGTGGTCAGTCCAGACAGCCGGGACAATCCCAGGGACTTCCTAGCATGTGAGATGAACTTCTCTAGGGGAGAGACCAGCTGGCGATGGATACCTGACGTCTTACCTGAGCAGGTGAGACACCTGGGGAGTAACGAGTACCACCAGTCTCCTGGTGGCTCGGTGTTTCCTTAGCGACTGCCCCACGACCAGCGCCCCCTGGCAGTAGATGTCGTTGGTGGCCAGTGTGACGAAGGCCTGGTCAGTCACTGTGGATGGACAGAGACAGAGAAGTTAGGCACCTGGATGGGACCATGGGGGGTGACGTTAACTCTCCCGCAGCCACCCTCAACCTTCGAGGCTGCTCAGCCGAGGAACGGTTCCCTGGTCACACACATGTTGGCCGTTTTCTCTTTTTAAAGCACAGGAGTGAGCACGGAAGAGCATTACCCAGAGGCAGGGTGATGGTCCTACCGGTGGTCCCTCCTGCTACCTGGCAACACAACCCCACAGGACGCTGGAATGCTGTACCATACTACACCACACCCTATAGCGAAACACTGCAATGCTACACTCCACTCCGATACTCAGCGACAATACCTACTACAACCCAACAGGAAAACTACCAAACACTCAAATTGCTCTACAAAACTACAATCCAATTTCCAATATATTCTTATAGTACATCCCAATGTACAACACTATGGTGGTGGTGGTGGTTATGTGCCGTGGAGTCGGTTCTGACCCATAGCGACCCTGTACAGGGTTTCCGAGGCTGTAAATCTTTACGGGAGCAGAAAGCCTCATCTTTCTCCCACGGAACCGTTGGTAGTTTCGAACTGCTGACCTGGCAGTTCACAGCCCGATTCGTAACCACTACGCTACCAGAGCTCCCTGTACAACACTATACTACAATACAAAACACAATGCTACACTACAGAGTTCTGCAATATTACAATTCTATTCTATAGTCTCTACTACAGAACAAGAGGAAGACACAGGAAGAGACGAAGGAAGAGCTGACACAGGCAGCAGAGTGCTCTGCAATCCCCTCCTGCTACACAACACAATCCCACACTACACCACAATCCCACGTCACACTGAACGACATGGTTACAGAGTAGGGTGAGCCCCACAGGGTTCTCAGTGGATGATTTTTCATAAGTAGATTCCATTCATGGTGCCCTGTGTGTGTCAAAGTAGAACTGTGCCCCACAGGGTTCGCAGTGGATGATGTTTCATAAGTAGATCCCACTCATGGTGCCCCGTGTGTGTCAGAGTAGAACTGTGCCCACAGGGTTCTCAGTGGATGATTTTTCATAAGTAGATCCCACTCATGGTGCCCCGTGTGTGTCAGAGTAGAACTGTGCCCACAGGGTTCTCAGTCGATGATTTTTCATAAGTAGATCCCACTCATGGTGTCCCTGTGTGTGTCAGAGTAGAACTGTGCCCCACAGGGTTCTCAGTGCATGATTTTTCATAAGTAGATCCCACTCATGCCCCTAGGTATGTGAGCATGTATCTCCTCTCCACAAGATTTTCAGTGATTGATATTTCAGAAGTAAATAGCCAGGTCTTTCTTCCAAGGTACCTTGGGGTTTATTCAAACCTGCAACCTGTTTGTGAGCAGCGGACCTTGTTAACCTACCCGGTCCAGGACCTCCACACACATACACAGTTAGAACTCTTTGTTTCAATTTTGTGGATGTGTTGACCTTATACAGGTCTGATGGGACAGTGGTAAAGTGCTCAGCTGCAAACCTAAAGGTCAGGGATTGACACCCAGCTGCCGCTCGCAGGAGAAAGATGAGGCTGTCTGCTCCCGTAGAGGTTTACAGCCTTGGAAACCCTCGGGAGCAGGTCTAAGGTGTCATACGGGGTCCCTATGAGTTGGACTAGACTTGATGGTTAAAGAGTATTGTCTGCTTTAAAGTGGATCAGATAAGACAGCACAGAACCGGACCGCACTGTGTCCCATTGAGCAAGGCGTCCCTGGACGTCAACAACAATGGAGTCTTGACATCTCACCCAATAGGGCTGGAGAAGGCTCCAAGGAGCTCGATTCAAATGCAGACGCTCTCGGTTCATAAGACCCCACCAGCTCCATCTGTTCATCACATTCTCTGAGAGTCAGAACCGAGAATGCTCTGTTCAAGATCCAGGAGGTGAGAGAAGAGAAAAAATACATCGCTTCAGTAGCTCAAGGCACCTCACTTTCAGAATCTCCCAGCTGGTGGGGCAGACAGTGTTGGGCAGGAAGATTAAGCCTGGTTTCAAACTCATATAGCAAACTTTTACCAAGATGCTGAGCTGTTGTATCTTGTGCCCCCCTAGAGCCAGCTGTCAGGGCAAAGACAACTAACAGTGGCTTGGAGGAAAGAAAAGAAGAGAAAGTAAGAGAAAAGTAAAGAAAATAAGCTGAAAATCTATTATCTTGCCAAACTGTGAGCTATCTAAGGCAATTGGAATTCCCAGCAAGGAGCCAGGGGCCTGAACATTCAGGCGGAATGTAATCACCTTCCGCCCACTCCCAGCTGACCGCTGACCGCAACCCCTACTTCTTACAAAGCCTGAACCTCCCCTTTCCAACACATCCACTCTAAAACATACCGGTAGCAAGTGATTCCCAGTGTGTTTGTAACACGAACCAGAAAACTTCAGATGTAAATCTGCAGAAACTTCCCCTTGACTATATACCGAAAGTCTCTCATATAGACATAAAACATATAAATAGCAGGTGTATTTCAATTATGCTGTTCTTAATACCGTCGAGTCGGTTCCGACCCATAGCGACCCTGTACAGGGTTTCCGGGGCTGTAAATCTTTACGGGAGCAGAAAGCCTCATCTTTCTCCCGCGGAACGGCTGGTAGTTTCGAACCGCTGACCTTGCGGTTCACAGCCCGATTTGTAACCACAACGCTACCAGAGCTCCTTGAATGATATATAAGACATACTTAAACTACAAAATGTTATGTAAAGATGGAGTCCAGGTGTGGTGTTGTAGCATAAGCACTGGACTGTTAACCACAAGGTTGGCGGTTCAAACCCACCAGCTACTCCTCGGAAACCCCGTACCGGGTTGCTACAGTCAGAACCACTGAGTCATAAATTCTTTCTGCCCTCCACAGTCTGTGTGCATGTGTGTGTTTAAAACCAAATCAAATTCATTGCTTTTGGATCACTCTCATAACAGCCCCATATGACAGAGCAAGACGGAACCCTAGGGATTTGTAGGGTGTTGTCTTTAGGACAGAACGATGGCCAGGTCCTTCTTCTGTTAATGGTGGGTTCGGATCTCCAGGATTTTAAAGGTTAGTAGTTTGTGTTTATTGTTATATTGACATATTGTCAGGAGGGACCAGTCACTGGAGAAGGACATCATGTTTGATAAGATGGAGGGTCAGAGAAAAAGAGGAAGAGCCCCAGCAAGATGGATTGGCCAAGTGGCAGCATCGATGGACTCAAGCGTGGCAACAGTAGTGAGGTTGGCCCAGGATTGGGCAGTGTTTTGTTCTGTTGTGCACAGGTCGCTATGAGTCGGTAACGACTCGATGGTTCCTAACAAGATCAGTGCATATTCATATACATTGTTATTTTTGTTAAGTGTCATTGAGTTCCAACCCATAGTGACCCGGTATAAGGTTTCTTAGGAGTGGTTGGTGACCTTGAACCACTGATCTTCCGTTTCAAACTGACTTTGCAGTCCAGCGCATTAGTCCGCAACACCACACCAGAACCATCTATCTATCTACGCATCTATGGAGAGACACAGATTGGAAAATAAGTGTAGAACACAATATTGTATGTGCTCCCTAATGTTTCCATTGACTGATTTTCAGATGTAGACAGCCAGGAGTTTCTTCCTAGTCTTATTCTGTCAGCGTATCACAAGCCTCCACAAACAGATGGATGGTGGCTGGGGCATGAGGTACACTGGCCAGGAATCGAACCCCAGTCTCCAGCACAAAAGGCAAGAAATTCTATCATGTGTAAGCGCACCAAGTTGAACTTCATGTTGGATTAAGTTAGCAGACGTTCTCGGGATACAAAATTCATCCTGGAAGTGAGGGTGCCTGGGAGTTTCCTAACAAGTGGGTCAAAGATTTGCCCCCCTGCTGGTGAGAAGGTTACACACACACACAGACACACACACACACACACACAGACAGACACACACACAGACACACACACACACACACGGCTGCTCACCCAAAGACCTAAAAATTCAGCCCCAGAAAACTCCACGGAGCACAGTTGCACACTGACACACAAGGGCGCTCCTCCACTTGGAGTTGAACCAATAGCTGCTGCTTCTCTTTATTGTTGTTTTGCTGTGAGACCTGTTTACTTGGATTCCTTTCCCACTCTTCCTTCAGCCTGTCTCTGCACTGAAAGATGCATTTATTTCTTCTCTGGAGCTGTCCCCACCCAGTCTCCAGGGTGAACCCACAGCCGTGAAGGGGAACTGCACATATGACAGTCTCTGAAGGCGCCCATTGTGCAGGACAGCTTTGGAGGAAACTTGTGGTTTTCCACTTTGGAAACTTGGTTTTCGAGTTCCCTGTAAGAGGCCGTCTCTTCTGCTGCTTCTTGGAGCCCACTATTCCAGCATTTTCTCAAAACACTCTTTTCTACCCTTGCCTGGCCAGACAACACTCCCTTCTAAGGTAGGAATCCCCAACAACAAACCTACTGTGGATGAGTCATAGCAATCCAGTAGATTAAAATCTACCCAGAGGCGCACCGGAAGAAATGCCTGGAGATCTACTTATGAAAAATCATCCACTGAGAACCCTGTGGAGCACAGTTCTACTCTGACACACATGGGGCACCATGAGTGGAATCTACTTATGAAAAATCA